TAATTAGATATAAACATTAATATTAATAATTGTATATATATAAACATTTAATGTTAATATAAACATTTATTAAATGTGTATTAAAGTTTAGGATTTTTGTAATCAGTAAATAAATAAACTACGTCCAATTATAGTAATTATAAATTGGATACAATAATTATTATGGATACGTAGATTATAGGTAACCATTAATTGTATACTTATCTTAGATATGGATGAACATAATTAATGACCGGGCTTTTGTCCACAAAGCCCTCCATTATCTATCTGTCGATTCAACGTCATCGATATTCAATACAGATAAAATTCGGGGGGTGAGTGTTGTTTTTTATTTATTAATATACTATATTTATGTCCATAGTAATAGTAATAGATAATAAAACTAAAGGCGCATAAAATTCGTCATATGGGCGAATTTTTGTCATTTTGTCATACAAGGAGATTGGAATTCACAGAAATTTCAACAGTATCTTATAACGAATCCTCTGTCTATGATAATATCCTGAGCTTGGCGTTTTCCTTCAAAGGTGTTGCAATGACAATTTTTATTGAAATATACTTGGTACAGTATGTTTCGAAAAACAACAAATTTAGTATTAGGCCTTTAAACGACTTGTACTACGACAAAAATTGGCCCAATGTAGGATATTTTTCAATTTTTCAATTTTGTTGTTGTCACCGTATCTATCCGAACGAACATGGTAATGTATATATATTAATATATATATACACATATATAAATAAATTGATTGGTTTTAGGGGGGTTTTACGTGTTTTTTATTAAAAACGCCAATTCCATTGAAAAAATTAATAATCATTTTAAATGAAAAAACGCGAAATAAATTATTTATTTATTTATTAAATAAATGTTTTAATTAAAAAATGATTTCTTCTAGGCGCAAAGTTTCAAGAAAGAAATATTTACATTTGAATTGTAAACAAGTTAATTATTAATATTAAATATTAATATATATTTTTTTTATTGTCGTTTGTGTAAAAAATTCGGATAAATTGAAATTTCCCAAAAAAAAAAAATCCCGTTTTTCAAATATCTAAACTAATATAAGCCTCACACACTGCTTCTAAATTTATTCGTTCCAAAAGAAAAGAATCATGTGCTATAATAATAATATTTCATTAATTACCTTAAAAAAATGTGAAAATGGCTGGTTTTTTTTTTATCTCTAACTTTTTTTTCCGATATTTTTACCTAAATTAGGTTCTTTAATAAAACTAGGTTAATATATTAACACTAATTGACTAGATGATTATGATTAGATAGATGATCACGGTTTACTTATTTACCAATTATTTGACGATGTGTTATTATCTAACGCTAGCTAAGCTCACCAGATTTACGCCAATTCATAACTAATACGCAATTCGCATTTTTGTGACCATTTTTTAATCCATATTTCCTAAAGCTTCCAAAGTTTCAAGAATGTTTCATTAGTTTCTAAAATTTTTTAAGTAATTCTAAATTCGGTATAATTCAAAAATTATGCTAATGGCATAATTTAATATTATTCTTGGCTTTAAGCAACTTTCATATGAAAAAATAGTTAATTAAATAAAACCATATTAAAATAATCTACTGTTTATTTACATCTATTATTTATTTATTTACTTACTTTATTTATTAATTGTTTATTTACATTTTCTCATTGTTTTCACTTTAAAAATCATCATGCAATTAAATGCATCTACATTTATTAGGATTAGTTGCTAATTACTTGCTGTATAAATACCATTATTTATTTATGCTCTTTACTTTTTGTTTTGCTTTATTTGCGTTTTTATTTGCGCTTTTATTTTGTTACTCGCTGCTATACTATTATAAGTGTCTAATTACTACAACAACTGCTGATATTGATGATGATTCTGTTACCACTACTGCTACTTATCAATCAATATGTACATGTACCACAAACGCATGACACAGTGTTGAGGTTGATTGATTATAGGTAAACTTTCCGACATGTTTCTTTCACATTAATGTTCTAATTTTGGAGAAAATGAGAGAGAAGCAAGGAACAAAAAAAAATATGTTCGGTGAATACCTTTTGTTTATATTTACACTTTATTTTACTTTTAATTTACCTAAAGAAACAAATTTCAAAGAAATCCACTCATCTAGTATAACGTGAAGAAGGAATGCAAACAACGTGTTGGTTTAGCCTCTAATTGGTTGATCGATTGATTGATTGATTGATTGATTGATTGTTATTTGCCAGCTTGCTTTTTATTCCGCCCGACTTTTTCTTCTTTTTTTCTTTCTTTCATCAAAACCTAAAAACTCAGAAACACTCGCGCCATCCTCTCCATTTATCCAACACCATCCAACCATTATCCAATGCTTAATATCACTGCACACACGCACATACACAAATTATTACCCGATGTATGTACAATTAGATAATAAATTTTCACATATGTAAATGCTTGAAGATTATACAAATATGATTTTTTTTTTAAAAAAAATCTTTTTCAAGGTTTATAAATACAATCCAATTAATACAACGAATTAAGAAATGATTACGTCTTTTTCCTGATCTTCCCCTTTATATAAATTCATATTTGTTAATATTGTTCCAAGATTATCATTGCTATTACTCGATTTTGCGTTTGTTCGATCGGATATATAATTGATTTACATGGGTTAACTGCTTGATTTGACTAGTCATTCATTGATCACGTGTATTATATACGCCGAAATACGGATGAATGAACAAAGAAAAGTTTATTCTAAAGAAATTAAACTAATTAAATATCTATTAGTATTAGTCTCGTTTATAACCTCAAACTATTACTCTATACTATGAATAAGTTTCTCACGACAATAACCAACCACTTTGTAAATAAATTACATTCCATACATACATTAATAACAGATAAATTGGACCCTGCACTAACATCTAATTAATTTTCTTTAAAGTTTTTTTTTACCAACTTTAGGAATTTTAGGTTTATGAAAACTTTGGCTAATTTCGGTGAAATTGACTAAAAAGTCATTGATTAACTTTTGTTTACGTAATATAGTACATTATCCATCTGGCTTAAAATCTTGTTTTTAATTAATATATATCATTGTGGATGATGTGTGTTTTCTGGGAATGATTGATTTTGTAAAAAAGTAGAAAGAATAAATAATATATGATTTTTTATTTATTTATTTATTTTTTGCCAATTACTTGTTTCTGCAAGATTTTTTTTTATTACCAAGAGGGATTTTCAGTAAAAAAAAAAATATATTTTATTTTAACCCAATAAAAAAAATTTTCAATGATTTTTTATTTTTTATTATTCAACTATAATAATAAATTTCTAAAAAAACTTATTATATTATAATCCTAATTATTGTACAATCCCTGCTACCATTCATATATAATATATATACTGTAGGTTTTGTATAATGTAATTACAATATACTATATAATATGTAATGTATATTATGTATATATTTGTATTCATTCTTTACTTTTTTATTATTTTAATTTATTCTTTTGAGATGCATCATTATCATAAGCTTATATTCACACAATAATATATAATAATCAATTTTATTTATAAAAATCTTTTTATTTTCCAAAAAAAAAAATAATTTTCTTTGAAATTAATAAATTATTTATATATAAAAAACACGAAGAAAATTTTCAATTCTTATTTTTATTTACACAAATTAAAAATTTATAAATTATCTTGAAAAAAAAAAAATCACAATTTTTAAAAATTCACAATGAGTTTAACTGCTGAATTAATATCAAATACATCTAAAGATAAATTCACTCTTCAAAAAGTCCCAGTAAGTAATTAAATTTTATAATTATTAAATATATACATGTATAGTTATTTTTCATTTTGATAAAAAAAAAATATAAAAAATAAAATAAATAAAAATCTTTTTTTTTCTTTTTTTTTTTCTTTTTTAAAAGAGACGACGAAGAAGGTTAAGTAATTCAAGTAACAATAGTAGTAATTATAACAGTGGCAATAATAATAAAAGTAATAGCAATGGTAATAGTAATAAAAAAATCATGAAACAACAACAACAACAACAATCAATAAGAACGTCTCAATCAAAATTCATTAATAATAATAATTCATCGTCATCATCGCCAAGATCATCACCATCAAATATTTCAAGGATGATGATGACAATGCCGATGACTCCTCCTCTAACAACATATGATAAACACCAACAATTTTATAATCGTCGTCGTGAATCAATATCCTCTTCTCCTCTTCAATACAATCGCTTATCGCCCTCATCGCCTTTAACACCTACAAAATCCAATTGTCATAATTGTCACAATCATAACAATAACTACAATAATAATAATACTAACAATTATATAATTAGTGGTAATAATAGGCAACACCGTCTTCTTTCTCGTTCTAATTCTCACTCAAAAAGTCCTCACTCAAGAAGCATCAGTGGTCCACAATTACCTAGACATTTCAATGAACATATAGAGAAAAGAACAAGCATGGTGTTTGATGAAGAAGAAAATCAAGACGATGAGGAGGAAGAAGAAGAAATGGAAGTAGAGATGGAGCAAGATGAGATGGAGGAAGAATGTCAAGATGTCAATGAATACAATAATAATATTAAATATAATCAATACAATCAATATAATAATTACGACGATGACGATGATGATGATGATGACGATGATATTGATAACGAATATAATCAATATGATGAATATGATCAATATAATCAATATAATCAATATAATCAATATAATCAATACAGTGATAAAAATAATAAATATCCTGACAGTGTTTATAGTGAAGCCTCCGTGTCATACAGTTCATCTTTTGATGACGAAGAGGAATATTTTGATAACAATAATTGTGGTAATTACGATAACAACTATAACAATTATAACAATTACAACAATTATAACAACTACAACAATTATAATAATAATCGTAACAATTACAATAATAATTACGACCGCCGTCAAAATAATTATGACAACAACAAATCATTATCGATGAACGCTAAAGCTAAAAGACGAAGATCTTCTTCGTTGAAAAAAGAATTCAACATGTTAAAAAAAGAAATTCACGCTGTGAAAAATAGTCTCACTTCATTACAACAAAATCACAAAGAAATGTTAAATGAGAAAAAGCAAATAGAAATACAATATCAGGAAACAAAAGATGAAGTTGCCAAAACTCTGGAAACAAGTGAAAAGGATTTGCAGGCTTATAATGATTTATTAAATTCCAAAATAAAAAAACTTTCGTTGGAATTGTCATCACACAACAATTCTTCCCCCTCGGCTGATAATAATGACAACGATTCTGATATATCTGATAGTTGTAGTACCAACAGTAATGACGATTTACCACCAGAATGTAAAACGATAATGAATAATTGTGTTAAACAAGCAAAAGAATTAGAATTGTTAGAATCGGAAATTGAGAAAAGTAAAAAAGATTTTTCAGCTTTGTTAGAAATTAAAGGACGAATTGAACATTCGTTGGAAATAAAGGAAAATGAATATTTAGAAAGAATAAAGGAATGTGAGGCGATCACTGAGTCTCAAACCGGCATGATTGACTCGATGGAAGGTTTATTAAAGGATCTTGTGGGCAAAATGGATCGTCTAAAAGATGAAAAGGCAAGGCGTAAACTAAAACATCAGCATCGTCATTCTTCTTCTTTTTCCATAGATCATCATCATTCACATAAAAAGAGCCGTAATAGTATTAATAATTATAATAATAATAATAACAATTACAATAATAATAATTTTAATGATCATAAATTACATCGTCGTAATCAATCATCAATAAGTTCAATGCGTACACTCGTGAATAACAATAACGACGACGACGATGATGATGATGATTATATGAGTCAAGGTTTACTACCACAACGACCACAATCGACCCTAAGCAATTATTATTCACACGATGCAGCAAGTATACAGCGATCAAAATCAAGCCTAAACAACCATTATACATACGATCCAGCAAAGGTATCAAATTTACAGCGATCAAAATCAAGCCTAAACAACCATTATACATACGATTCAGCAGCGACATCAAATATACAACGAACAAAATCAAGCCTAAGCAATCATTATTTGCACGAACCAACAAAGATGTCAAATTCACAACGATCAAAATCAAGCCTAAGCAATCATTCACTCGATCCAACAAACACATCAAATATGCAACGATCAAAATCAAGTTTAAGTAATCATTATGTTAATGATACAACTAAAAAATCAAGAACAAAGTCAAGTTTAAGTAATATAAACACCAATATATTTGGTTCCATAATGACAAGTTTAAGTTTGAAAAGATCTCAATCAAAAGAAAGTAATTGTAATTATAGCAATTATAGTTCATCGGATGAGTATAATCCATCTGAATTAATGCCAGCTCGTTGTATATCTCCACCTCGGGTATGGATTATTTTTACATATAAATTGTGCAAATATATATATATATATTATAATGATATTAATATTTATCGTATTTCATTATTCTAGTCAAGAAGACAGTCATATACAAATCCAATATCATTATTTACAGATGAAGAACGCGTTAAACATCAATCTCGTTTTGGTATGTATATTTATCAATCACTTAAGTCATTTATTCATTCGGTCAAACTATAAATCAATTGTTCTAATTCTAATTTTTATCTCCCTTCTTCTTAATAAAGTTTTAGCAGAACGATGGGTTGAAGATGATGAAGTATCAGTGTGTCGACATGCGGACTGTAATACAAAATTTAATTTTTGGAATAGAAAACATCATTGCAGAAGGTAATTGATATAGTTAGTTAATTAGAAAGAGATAATATTTATTTATTTATCAATAAAATTTTTTATTAATAATTTCCCTATAAATTTTAAACAATAGATGTGGTGATATCTTTTGTTATAAACATAGTAACTATTCGATGTTACTGTTTGCTGACGGAAATGAGGATTGGGGTGGTGTATGGTCCAAAGTTTGTGAAGAATGTTATAAAGATAAAGATGATAAGAAACAATAAATCATTTTTATTTATTTTTACTTGATTTCCTTTTTTTTTTTTTTTTTTTACCCACAAAAAAAAACACCCGTTTATATTTATTTATTTAATGTAATTTTATGTATATTTAATTGTATTATATACTATAGTGTTAAAAAAAAATTTTGTTTAATTGTATTATAATAATAATAAATAATATATACATGGGGCAAACCAGATAAACTGCAATATTAATGCATTAATGCATAAAATAGCTTTTGTGAGTGTTATAATGATTTTTTAACTATCAAATAGCCCTATATAAGGTGGTCAATGCTTTTGGATTGATTAGGCAACTAATTCTTTTAAATCTACGCACTGCTTTTCTTTGTAGATAAGATAAAGGCACAATATGCATTTGTAATTCTAAGACATTATCTTGCAGGGATCATTTATGTTCCGCAAATTTCCCAGAGTCCAATTTCTCCTTAACTTTCTTAATACATCTCACCTATTTCAGCTCATCGGGATTGGCTTAATAATAATAACAATAACAATATGTGCACTCTGGATTTATGAATCCCGAGAATTGACCAATTGGACAACAACTTTTCCTTCTTTCCAACAATCAGGACATTTTGATGGTTACATTTTCCTGATATTCTCCCGGGAATGGGTTTTAAGTCTTCTCTTTTACCAGGTTTGGTCTGCTCTTCTCGAACGAGTGACCAATCAATTATGGTCATAAATGTTCCATATATGAGTGTATATATGAGACACATGTTGAAGTGTGAAAGCTTCTTGTCCATTTAGAATAGATATGGATGTTAAAGCCTTTGGGGTGGGATTCTTCCTTTATGTTGGTTGATTTTCTTTATTAATAAAAATTTTATACTTCCAAATAGAAATGATAAAATAAACCTCATAAGGGAGGAGAAAAAGAATAATATGAATAAGAGCCAAGGAATCGGTAAAATAAACGATTCGATTTAAAAATTTTCCTTTCCAATTGTTTAAAGAATTTAAAGAATCGCTTCCAAAAAAATAAAATAAAGCTTAGGTGTAGATTCAGTAGAATAATCTTTTCCATACGAATCCAACATAGGAAAAAACCTCGACCAATTCTTAAAAAAAAAAAAACTCAAAATAAAGAACAAAATTCAGTTCCCTTGCATTTAGCATCCCATTTTGAATTTTTGTAGCATCCTTTGAAAATTGTCTCCCTTAAAGAGTTAAAAGGTCAAATTAACTTCCTTTGGGAAAGGATTAAACAATCGTAATATATATTAAACAAATTATTAATAATAAAAATTAACGACGCGTAACTTACTACAATATGCATTGTCACTAATGTAATAATGTTGTTTGATATTTTGAAATGTTGTTGCCATTAAAATGACGCAAACAAAAACACAAAAAAAATTTTTTTAATATCTCCTTTATTTCATAAGTTGTTCCCAAGGAGCTAAACTTTTCTTCTATTGAATACAAATTCAGTTCCCACATACTCATTTACCACATTACTTATATTATTAATATCAATAACGTGATACATGATCGGGTAGATATATTTTAGTGTATAATATAAATATTGATTGATTAAGTTACTTTGCAACAATAAACCTATAATTTTCCATCTTTATCAACGAAAATTTCATTTCTGGGTCCTCGTTTAAAAAAGCAGAGGAAAATAATAGATAATTAACATTTTAATAAAATAAAAATTCTGTGATTGAAAAAAAATATTGTCTTTATGTTCTTTGTTTAAAGCGCTTTGATAAAAGCCACAAGTGCAGTAAAAGGTGACAATTGTGGAACATTGATAAAAAGCCACGTAGAACATGATACTGCCATTTCTACCCATTTCCATTAAGGTAATCAAACACTACTTGACTAATTCTTGGTTGGTCATAATATTAATTTTATGCGCTTAATTGATAAATACAGATTATCATCAGATCCTGTGGCAGCATAGAAAGGTCTGTTTTGACGAATATTGATTGCTTTTGTATGTCCAGTGATTTCTCAAACAGAAGATCTAGTGTCAAACGAAAACACACGCCTACAACTTTTTTTATATTTAAATGGATTGTTATATATTCCTTGTTAAACAAATCATCAAGGTGATTTTTGATTACCATAACCAACAGCAATAATCCTTTGAGTTCCGAGCTAAATCGTTAATCCTTCCTGAAATTACTTTTACCTCATTTTTTTAAAATCTGTTCAGGTCGAATTGTGTCCCATATTCTAACATTCACATGAACATATATGTATATGAATATGTTAAAACAGTTATTATTACCATATTTACACAGATGTTTCATGTCTTTTGTTTATTTTATTTATTTACCACCAGACGCTCGCTATATAACCACTAGGCGAATAATTAGCAACAGAAGTTGCTATTATATGCATTTTTAATAAAAGATTGATACCAACGGCTAAATTCCCAATGATAATATAAAGTTTTCTCGGAACCAATTTGTCTTCCTTAGATGGTATCAGGTAATACTTTCAAAAGTAATTAATATTAATAAATTAATTATCATATATAATTAAACTAGAGTGACGAGTTCTGAATTTAATCATTATTTACAAGAATAAGAAAAAATTAATATATATACATACATCTTTTTTTTTGGTCAAAATGTATTATTATCTATTATACCGAAATAAATCGTCAAGAACTATTACCAAGAGACTTAACAAACAATTACTTTTTCAATCAATTATCTTAATATTAACAAACAATAAACAATTGCTTTTTCAATCAATTATCTTAATATTAACAAATAAAGAACTATTACTTTTCCGGTTAATTAATGGTGATGTGGCTCATATCAACCAATACAAACCTTGTTATAATTGGTTGTTTAATAAAAAGTCTGTGCACCTGAAATGATTTGTGATAATAAAATGTTGAATTTACACAGCTTTAATTTTCATTGAGGATTTCCATACCTGACTCTTGGCTTTGTTTACATCAATATATCAATATAATCCGCGTGTGACGTAGATCCCATATTGTTTATGGAACCCAAAGCAAGTAAGGTCTTAGAACTATAAATTTAGAAATTTATTATTGTGAAAAAGGGAAAATTTTTGCGTCGAAAAATTGGAATAAAATTTTTCTTTAGGCAAAAATTTTTAAAGTATTTTTTTCTCCTTTAAAAATAAAACATTAATTAGTCTCCTCTTTCAATAATGGCCCCCCATCCTAAAATACTTTTAGTCAAAGCTTATGCATTAGAGTAAGTTCACATTCAATATTTTTTTAAATATAATTGATTAATATAAACTCACTAATTTATGATATGTAGCTGGATCATGTGTGTTCTATTTATACTTGGATTCCTTGGAATAACTAGGATACCGCCTTATCATCGATTATTTTCATTGGAGGATAAATCAATTCAATATACATATGCTGTGAAAGAAACAGTTCCAATGTGGTTGGCAGCTGTTAGTAAATAAATAAACTTATATTTCAAAAATTAATTAATTAACTAATTTTAGAACAAAATATTAATGTGTATAATATAGATAATTGTTGTATTAGGCCCATTAGTTGTCATGACAATTACGGCTTTAGCAATCAAGAGAAGCACGCATGATTGGCATCATTCTTGTCTAGGTCTTTTCTTATCTCTGACATTAACTCTTATTGTTACCGAAATTTTCAAAGTATGTTAATAATTTAAAATCATCCAATCTTTTCAAAATAATAAAGTAATAAACTTTATTTTATTTATTTATAGAATACATCGGGTAGGCCTCGACCTGATTTCATAGATAGATGTCAACCAGCACCGGGCTCGGTTGATTCTCCTGTATATGGTTTAAGTAATTATTTAATATGTACTCAGACTGATGAAGCAATTATGAAAGATGGTTTTAAAAGTTTAGTATCTGGACATGCATCCAGTAAGTATGATAGATTAACATACTCATATATTCATATACTCAAATGCTTGTATTTTAAATATTCATACGTTCATATCATGTTTATTTGAAAATAGCTTCATTTGCTGGTATGGGTTATCTTAGTTTGTATCTTGCTGGAAAATTACATGTTTTTGATAAAAAGGGCTACACATACAAAGGATTTGTTGTGGTTACTCCTTTGGTCATTGCTATGCTTATTTGTATTTCAAGGACTCAAGACTATCGTCATCATTGGCAAGATGTGCTTGCAGGAAGTATTCTTGGTAACAGAATTATTTAATTAATTAGATTTATTTTATTAGAAAAAAAAGAATTAACAAAAAAAAATTTTCATTTTAATTTTAGGTATCGTATTATCAATATTTTCCTATTATCAATACTACCCCAGCCTTCACTCGCCAGTCTGTGATAAGCCATACTCTATCAGATTAAAGAAACAAAGGCGTCATCATAATGCAGAATTTGTATTTTCAGATGGTTCTAATTTCAAAGTAGAAGTTACCAGGGAAGATGGCACTGTCGTCCATTCAAATAATAATGCTGCTTTTAATGATGCAGGTTTTGTGGATGACCTTAGTAAAAGTTCTATTGGATCTGGAAATGTTTAAAAAATGTTTTTGTTTTCTAATAAATTAATTCTTTCAATGTTTAATTTTTTAACATATGTATTTAATTATAATATTTACAACAAGGTGTGCCCTTTAGAGTCAATTAGTGAATAAAATAAAATATCTTCCAACACCTTTCATCGGGTAATTTACATTAAAACCGTTTTCTTGAAAATCGGGTTGAATTCATATTAATATGATGATAGTAATACGTGTTTCATTTCAATACAACTTGAAATAAGACACGTGCTGTCTGAATTCAACAAGTACTTTATTTAATCTTATACCTTGCCACAAAAATAAGTTAATTTTATCAATAATTATATTCATCCTGACATTAAAAATGTATATCTTTATAATGAGAAATCAAACGAAATCTTATCAATCATACAATACAACTTTTGATTTATTATTATTGAAGTTCAATCTGATGATGCTTTTTTTACCAATAACTCTTCTCCGTACCCATCTTCGATAACGTAACTCCAAATATCAATTTCCTCCATATTTAAATAATCTCATATAGTGGCCATCTTTATGATCTCATACTTATGTTCTTTGATCAAATAACTTGTAAATCTTCGTTAAAAAACAGCTCATTGCAAATCCAAAGATCATAAAACTGATATATATAATGTGTTAATAAAAATTTACTTGGATATATTTCAAATATGTAAAGGAGAAACATTTTCTTTTCAAAAATAATCACTCCAATATGAAGATCTAGCTCTTAATATAATAATAAGTGCGCTTTAAGTCCCCAACTTTTATTTCCACATTGATATTTAACATTTCATTAACTGCTACTTGAGTTTACAAATTCGTTGAATAATTAAAGTTAACAACTTTTCTTGATTGTTGATATAAATTATTATTACATTTTCACAATATGGCACGCCATCTAAAAACATCAAATGCTGCGTCACACTTCCAAATCCAAATCCCAAAATAGCAATGATACTCTGGTGTCACGGTATTATAAAATCACATGACTTAATATCGTATTCGTTCGTTATATTAATTTCGTGCATGCAACTTCAAAATCCAAAAAAGGTTATCGAAAATACTAATTCAATAATTACGATAAGCATTACATTTTACCAAGAAAAAAATTTTTTGAACAAAAAAAAAAATAGGCTACACCGATTTTATTTGTTTGCTTTCTTACGCTAATAATATATATATTTTAAATAAAAAAAGTTTCTTGAATTTTTAGAAATGAATTGGTTTATCATATGTGGCCATTGCTATAAAAAAATTTTTTTTAGGGAAAATAAAGTGAGAAATATTATACATATATATATATATATTAACGTCAGTATCAATAATAATGATTATGATCACGTACCAGCTTCTTTTAATGCTTCAGATAACGTCTAAAAAAAAAAAAAAACAAATAAACAGTAATTAGTAAAAAAAAAGAATATAAATTTAAATTTTATTCTCTTATATATATATATATATATATATATATATATATATATATAGAAGTACTAACTGGATGTGCATGGCAAGTTCTAGCTATATCTTCGCTACTTGCACCATATTCCATAGCTAGAACAGCTTCA